AAACCCAATTGCAAGTACAGTTGTCCCCTCTTATCCAAGGAGACATATTCTACAATGTCCAGTGGAAAGCCTATGTATACTATGTTTTTTTCTAAAATATACACACCTTTTCACTTAAAGGAAGCACTTTATGGCTTCTCCTTGGCATAGTGACTTGCCAGCATCGCCACTCTTGCTTTGCAGTTATTATTAAGTAAAATAAGGGTTACTTGAATACAAACATTGCAATACCAAGAGAGTCAATCTGATAACCAGATGTCTACTAAGTGACTAACAGGCACTTATTGTGTACAGTGTGGACACACACACACACACAAAGGAACGATTCACACTCTGGGTGGGACTGTGCAGGCCAGTGTGAGGTTTCATCGCCATACTCAAGTGGCATGCAATTTAAAACTTATGAATTGTTTATTTCTGGAATTTTCTATTTAATATTTTGGGACCAAGGTTGACTGTGGGTAACAAATTGTGGAATGTGAAACTGTGAATATGGGAGGACCACTGTATACATGGGTCTATTTGGCCCCAAAGACTATTCATTCCCCATTATAACCTCTGGAAATGGATATGTAGAAAATGGACACTGAACCACACCAATGGCTGAGATCAAGACACAAAAATGTCCACAAGGCAGTAGATTTCTTTGGTAACATCTTTTGCAACTACTTTGGAGTGGGAGATGAAGCAAGTTTTCAGGCCCCATCAGACCTTCCTATAATCAGATCCACCAATAAAAGGTGAGGGTTTCTGTGTTTAGTGGTCTCTATTTTTAGCACTGGCATCTTGTATCTGAATTTAGAATTAGTTTGAGCATTACCATGTTCTTTGCAAACTCTAGTAATTCCAAAAAAGGTTACTGTTAGGATAGTAACAGAGAGGAGTCGATTAACCTGACATGAGTGTAGATAAGTAGCAAAATTGAAAGTTAGGCAGACTTCCCTGGGTAAGTCACTCAAGTCCCAGTTTTCTCATCCCCAAACTGGTGTCTTCCAGAGTCCCTTGTGAGTCTCTGTTTGATTCTAAGTGACAAGTTAAAGAGCCTGTAAGGTTCCAGGTTTGGCATTCATGAATGCCCTAGGATTTTTTGTCCTGGAGTTTGTTCCTGCCCATCTATTGTTTCTTGCTCTAAATCTTGGTTATTTTGGTGCTCAGTGGCTTCTCCAGAAGAGGGGCAAATAAAAGGAAGCACAATGGAAACCCATATGTTGATGCTTCAAGAAAAATCTGGTGGCAGTGTGGTCAAGGAGAGTTGCTGACTAGCTGACTGGGTTCCTATAAAAAAGAGGTGGGGAACTTCGTGAGAGGGGAGTTCAAATCACTGTTCCACTACTTCTTCGTGTAACAAAGATCATTTAACATTTTTGGTCTACAATTTTCTCTTTTCTGAAGTAAGAATAGTAATTTCTACTTCTCAGGGCCAATGTGATGCTGTGTTAATTGCATCATATGTGCTCAATTTTAATTTGTTTAGAATCAGATTATTAAATGTCTACCATTACTACAGAGGGTTGAGACAACTCTAAATCCTTCTATCATTCAAGAACTGTCCTACATTGTTCACTGATTTTTTAAAGTTATTCATTCCTACTTATCAAATATAACAAAATATTTATTTTATTATTTCCATTTTAATGTGTGATCCAGCTTACTCAAAAGAACAGAAGGAAGCTTGTTTTCTAAAATACCACATTTTCTGTAAACATCTGCCTTATTTCATCTTAAATCCTTATAATACTAGCACTAGGAAAGGGATTCTCAGGTCACACACTGGGCTGTCTGGTATATACATAGACTCTCTAGTGCAGTGGTTCTGACCGTTGTTGACTCGTGAAATTTCCCTGAGAATTTGATGAAAGCTACAGCTCTTCTCAGCAAAAAAAAATTCTCATCTGTGTATAATGTTTCACATAACTTCAGATCGTCCAAGACGGTTGAAACCTCTTTATGAACAGAGGTTAGGAACCCTTGCCTGATGTTTGCAAGTGGTCATGAGCACCATTTCTCTTTCAATTCCTGATAGTATTTGTGGATTGCTAGCATAATATAGTGATTTTGTGTTATTTTGTTTTCCTGAATTATTTTCTTTACTTTAGGTTTTTTCCTCATTGTGACTAATAATACAGGCATTTAGAATAAGCTTCCAGAATTTATTTTATAACCCTTGGCTCAAAATGCAATTGGTAACTGATCTGTGCTATAGCCACACTGACGCTGACTGAGCCATTGTTCTTAAGACTGAGGTCAGCCAGCTCCTGAGCACAACATAAATCTCCATAGTTCCCACGTTAACACTAGACACCTAACTACAAAGCAGAGGCTAAAATTAGATCACACCTAGTGCTTACATGTACTCCACAGAAGTGCAGTTCCCACACTAGGGGATTCATTTAATCAACAACACTGTTGACAATCCAGAGAGAGATATTTCACTTAGCAGGAAAAAGTTGCTCCACTTTGGAAAAGCTAAAATAGAACTTATAGGAATTAAGAGGGTTTTGAAATGTTCAAAGGTGCACCTGTTAACTCTAGGTCTAATAAAAGAAAGACTGGAATATTCTCAGAATCAGGTAAGCATTTTCTTCCCTTTCTTATATATAGGTCCACATGTTTTTACCAAGAAGTTTGAGTTGTGAAAACATAACAAACTGTTAATAAATACCTACCTACATAAATACATACATAGCAGGAAGGAACAAGATGTGAGGTTGACTATAGAAAAATAATTACAGTTCAATTTCCTATAAAAAGTTTATTATGTGAGGCTCTTTATAGCTAAAATGGCTAAGTCTTTCAAAGATTATATAGAGCAAATGTTTTCTAAATAAAACATAAAAATTTCCAAAAGTTCAATTACTAATGTTTGGTGGGTGTAATAGATCAGATTATAAGTAGATACAAATATTGCACATGTGGTTAAAAGAAGGATTTGTGTAAAATTAAAATAATTTTAATATAAAATTTAGCAATAGAGTTGAGGTAATAAAGAAGTCAAAAGTATAAATTCATAAATACTATACATTCTACAGCACTGGGAAAATGAAATAAGAACAGGAGTTACATTAACATGTTATGATAATAAAAATGCCCATCTCCTATAGACTCAGCACAGATAGTCCAGGAAAATGAATATTTAAAATACAACCCCCCTTTCTTATAAAACAGCTGCTTTCCTACATGAGGTTATGAAACATATCTGTGGAACATTGCTCAGGAGTTCAAAATGATGCCATCACATACACATGGTATTAATTCCTCCCGACTTTCCTTTGTGAGGCAGTTCACTTGAAGCAAGTGCTAAAAGAAATGAATTTCACTCAGTGACAGTATTTCCACATTTGCAGCCAATTCGAGGTTCTAATGAATGCCCAGTGGCAGAATATGACTCATGAAAGTGAGATTGCAAAATGATCCTGTTCCATTTTAAATGGAATCTCAGAATGTTGACATCATACATTTCAGGTAAACCCCATGGGACTCTGGCTCCATTACTGAACGTAGCAGAGGCCCCCAGGAGGTCGATGTCAGGGCCATGAAAGGACAGCCGTAGATCAGGCGCTATGCACTCCCACAGCAAATCAGGAATCCGCCTTCAGAAACCTTCCTCACTTCTGTTCATACAAACCACCATGTTATTTCCTCAGTAACTTTTTTAAATTCCCAGAAACAAACACCTTTTCCAGATGTCCTAATAGCTATTTTGTGGGTTCAAATTTTGTAAGACATAACATTTTACTATGTTTATAACAAAAAATGTGACCTATATCAGATGCTTTGGAGAGAATTCAAGGCAACAGGTGGTTATTTACCACATAGCCAGAAACTTTTATGTGTTGAAATTCAGCAATTCTTTCTGAGGATTATAGATAGATTTTTAATAAAATCACACTCTGAATCCCCATGAAACATTTCTTTCTGAGTATTGAAAAAATGAAAACTAGCTTGGACCTAGAAAGTAAGTATCTGCTCAGTAGGCAGGAACAACAGAGAGAGAAGACAACTGCAAAATCACAGGAAACATTTCCCCCTGGGACACTGCTGCTATAAAGTGTCATGGTAACCTCCTTCTTTGAGTGACTACAGAACCACTGAGGAACTTTCTTCTCTAATATAAAAGTCTATGAGTAAGGTTGCCATTTGAAATTTTATCAGTAAGAATGAGACATTGCACTATTGCCTGAAAGGTCTCAGGAGCTGTTGACACAGAAAAGCAGCTTGATCCCCAGCCCAGGAGCTGAGCTCCACACAAGGGTTTTCTTAGTAGGACAGCCCACACTTACCTCAGCTTACTGTTTCCAAAAAAAATAATAAATTAATTAAAATAGCACTCTGGGCTCACTTTGCAGACCAGACTTGCATCTAACTTCCACTCTTTCTAGAATCCTATAGTTATTCTCTTTCCTCTACCTTGTTTCCTCATTGCAATGGGCTAATACATCTAATTTTATGGGTCTCCAGGCTTGTTCCTGGTATTCTTAGGTTGATGGAGTGAGATAGGGTATGTTTCAATAAAATGCTCCAGCTCAAGAAAATATCTGCTGTTTGAATAACAGTTCTGAATTTTAATATTGTCTTTTAGATACTGAAAAAATAGACCATATCTTAGACTCCTGTGACTGTGAATTTTAAATTCTCTACTCTCTTCCCATCTAAGTAAAACATTCTGAAAGCCAGGAAATCTGTTGTGAATGTTGAAGTGGTGTTTTCTGGCTCTGCTGCTGCGAATGCACTCTGTGGCAAACCGTCTCTGCTTCCAAAAATCAAGCAAGACTCCTCAGCATGACTGTGAAGCTCTTTGTGAAACTTAAAACAGCCAGATGAAGGGAAATGGGTAGGTGGAAGTCGCAGGTCTCCCAAAAATACACTGGCTTGCTCCACACCTGTTTTAAAGGTAGGAATACCAGATTTAAAAAGAAAAGAAAACATGATGTGGGGGGAGTATTTGGAGAGTACCTTAAGGTTGTCTCTGCCCTAAGGCTGGAAGGCTGCTTTTGACATACCCATGCGAGTAGCCATAATCGTAGGCTGAGGCCACCTTCCGACTGACTGCAGACGCGAAGGAGGACTCGGTGGCCCGGGACGCCTGCTGCTGGTAGGAGGCCTCCGACGCCTGGCTGAAGGCCTGGGATTCCTGGCGGTGCGCTGCGGAGGAGCGGCTGCTGTAGGCCGTGGAGCCGTGGGTGTAGATGGCAGAACTTTTCTTCTCCTGCTCATGGTACTGGCTCATGGTGGTGCGAAGGTCCTTGTTGTAGTAGCCACGGTCATATTGCTGGTGCAATTTCTGATAAAACGGCAGAGACATCATGTGCCCTCAGGGAACCAAGCTATAAGAAAACAATAATGTTTGAATAAATTAAGAAACAAATCCCACAGAACAAGTCATCTAAACCAATGTGTAAAATTAATACTCTTATCTTTTCAAAAGAGTAAAGGAAAAATGATGTGTAATTGAGCTTAACTGGTTACTCCACCAACTTCGTGCTTCACTCCCAGACGTGCCCCTTCCTGCCTGCCCTTGCGCAGCTTTCTTTTCCATTTCTTCTTCCTTCCTTCCCTTTTGCTCCCTTCCTTCATATCTTTATGTGTGTGTGTGTGTATTCTTTACAAAGTTTCCTTGCCAGAGCTATCGTGCTTTTCCTCAGATCTTTCATAAAATGTATTTCTAAGTTTCCATCATTTTATTCTGATGGAGGCTTCATCTGGGACAACAGGTAATGATGGAGAGTCTGTATACAGCCAATGTGATTTTCATTCAATAAATAATGACCGAGACCTGCTATGAGCATAGTACTGTTCCAGCATAAGAAATACAGAGATGAACAAACACAATCTGAGTTCTGATGACTTTATATAGAAACTTATATTCTATCTCAGGAGATAGACAATAGAGAAAATAAATAAATGATAAGGTGTATTAGAATGTGCTAAATGCTATGGAGAAAAATAAAGCAGTAAAGGGGGATGGGAAGCAATTTTAAACAGCTTCATTGTTAAGTGACATTTGAGCATGAGAATATCTGGGAGAAGAGTGTTCCAGATATTAAACTATTGCAAGTGCACTGGGGTGTGGGCATGCTGGTTATACTCCAGGGGTAGTTCGTAAGCCCAGGAGGCCGCATGAAGGCATGAAGTTGCAGGGAGAGGTATAGGACACGATGCCATGGGGTGGGGTCGTAGGCAAAGGGCACGCAGTGCATGATCCTACAGGCAACTCTAAGGACTTTGTCTTTTTTTCTGAGAAGGTGGAAAAGCCATCAGAAGGTTCTGAGCTGAGAATCACTCTCACCGATTCTGAAGAATATACTGTTGAGGGACAAGAATAAAAGCCAGGAGACCAATGAGAGGCTGTTAAGAGCTAACTTGTATTACCCAAAATTCATAGGTTGAAGTCCTACTGCTAGTATTTCACAATGTGACTGTATTTGCAGATAGGGTCTTACAGAAGAAAGGTTAAAAGTTAACCTTACAGGTTAAAATGAAGTCATTAGGATGGGTTCTAATCCAATATGACTTTCCCTGTAAAGAGGAAATTAGGACCGAGATACGTACTTCCTGTGACGATGCAGAGGAAAACAACCATCTTCAAGCCCAGGGGAGGCCTCAGAAAAAAGCCAACTCTGCCACACCTTGATCTCAGATTTCTAGCTTCCAGGATTGTGAGAAGGTAAATTTCTGTTGTTGAAGCCACCCAGACTATGGTACTTTGTTATGGGAGCACTGACAAATTAATGTAAAGACCATTACAACAGTCTAGGCTAGAGATGGTAGCGATAGCAGTGGCAGTGTGAGAAGTGATTAGACTGCGCAGGTTTTGAAGGCAGAACCAACACCATTTGCTGAAATTACTGGATTAGGATATGATAGAAAGGAAGGAGTAAGAAATGATTCCAAGGTTTTTGCTTAATTGCAAGATTCCAGTTGCTATTAACTGAGTTGGGCAAGAGTATAAGAAAACAGCGGTTTGGGATGGAAGGAGAGATTGATTTAAGACATTTTACATTTGAGATACCTGCTAGACATCCTAGTGAAGATGTTAAGTGGGAAGATGGGTATGTGATTTTGGTGGAGAGGGTAAAGGTACAAGATGAAGACCTACAATTGGAACTCACCAGTTTATGGGGGTTTTGGCACCCCCACCCCTGCCAAAAAAAAAAAAAGATTAGAGTGAAAGTAAATGTAAAAGGAAGTCCTAAGACTGAACTCTGGAGTATGCTTATGTTATAAAATGAGCTCTATCAAATCTCACAAACACTTTAAAAAGGTATAATGTCAAAACAGAAAAATTTGCTCTATTAAGAATATGAAGGTTTCTGCCCTGGCTAGTGTAGCTTGGTGGATTGAGCACCGGCCTGTGAACCAAAGGGTCACTGGTTCAATTCCCAGTCAGGGCACATGCCTGAGTTGTGGGCCAGGTCCTCAGTGGAGGGGCATGAGAGAGGCAACCACACACTGATGTTTCTCTCCCTCTCTCTCACCCTCCCTTCCCCTCTAAAAATAAATAAATAAAATCTTTAAATAAAAAGAATATGAATGTTTCTAACTTTCTACATAAAGAAGAAAGTCAGCAATCAGTGTATCATTTGCATTGTGAACTTGAGCTAACAGTTCTACTGTAAGTCAAAGATTCATTTGCTTAGAATAGGAGAGACTTCACATTGCATCAGCTCTCTTGAATAATGTATCCACTGACAAAAGCCTATCAGCCACAATGACAACTCTGAATGAAATAATGGTTTTATGGAGCCCCTACCTCACTGTTTAATGCTTTGGTGCATGTTCTGAAATGTTATTTTTAAATTTTACAAGTGAAATTGTTGTGAAGTAGTCATTTTTCTAAGTGTTTTTAAAGTTCTAAATGAGGAATGAATCCTTCTAAATTTGCCATATTTTCATCAAGTTTAAAGCTACCTTTTTATTTAAACTATTTTAAAAGTCAGCATGTATTCCCTAGAGAAGAAAGTCCAGCAAACTTCACTCCAGAAATATTTATCTTAGGGTTCATGGAAGATATCAGTCTACATCACAATTCTCAAGAGGAAAAAAATAGCCACTAGCAAGCAACTTTGCTTCAACCCTTAAATAGATTGCTGTTTTATGTTCTAAAATACACAGAATTATCATGTGTAATGAATAATTATTAGATAAATTTAGATAAAACAAAAGGACTAGAATATATTATCATAAAAGTACATTATGTTTGGCAGTTGTAAAGATATTAGGTAAGTTTCTGTAATGATACATACTACATGAAACATGGCAAATGTTATTTGAATGCGATTCAAATAAATAAAGAATAACCTTCCAATGTATTATGTTATAAGCTAAATTCACAGCTCAAATGACTTAAAATGTTATTATTTTCACAAAATAAAATCTTTAAATATCTTGTCTCATTTCTATTTTCCACTCTCCTGCATTACTATTTTCTCCCAATATATTTAATTTTAACAATACTTGATATTCTAAGTATATCGGTAACGAATTACAAGTACATAGGTTTGGCTTTAAGTGAACAGAACTGACTCTCACAGCTCTGACCTCTAGAACGAAGGTACAACTGCTGCCTCTTGAAGTGAGTGAGGATTATCCCCAACGTATGACAGCTAGAGTATGTGGGGTGGCGGGGAGATGGTTTTGTTGTCTTCTTTTCCTCTAATACCTGCATTTTCTGCTGGAAAATAATTTGGGAATTTAGGAAGAAATACTAATCCTGACATGATGCTTTTGCACAGGCATTAGAGACCAAAAGCTGATAAAATTATTCACAGAAAGTGTGAGCTTCAGGATTACTATGTGGGAATCTATGTTGCTCTGAAATACCGCCTAACCATTTTCAGGTTAGAAATATCATAGTACACTCCTACATCTACCCACATGGCATTGTCAGAGCAAAATCACCAAATTAGACACTAGTGACTTCAGAGTTAATTTACCTCCTTTTGGTCTAATTTGTAATCGGGGACTATTGTAAGCATACGGAAGGTTGAAAGCACATGAATTCCTGTCACCTCATCCATTCCAGACTTCAACCAAACCACTGACTTATTACTTGGAAAGAGCACCTAATTCACACTTCCAGTTCCATCTGAGACAGTTATTATTTCCTTATAGTTCCAGGAATGGTAGCTTAATTTAAAAAGAATACAGTGAGCTGGGAGAACAGCTGTGCCAGCAAAAACTGGCACTCTGTTGCTCTTGTCTTCCTTCCCAGAGGCTCCGCTTTCCTATTTCTCTGCTATTCTGGCATCTCTTTGAGAAAACTGCTGAGCCCAGAAGATAGAGAGAAACCACACACACCACAGTGCTGTTAAGCACATAAAATATTAAGTGCATTCTTCTGCCTCAATGTCACACTTACCAGTTTCCAAAAGAGTGATGATGGTGGAGATGTTCTGAGGTGGCTGTGGAGCTGGGTGAAAGATAAAACACCCACGTAGGTTAAATCCAAGAAAAAGTTAAGAGGCAGGGCTAAAGACAGGACCCTGGGGCCAGTTCAAAAATAATGCATGTGGTCAGGCAGTAGAATGTCAGAGCCACACAGCCAGCCTTTTATGGCAAAGAAGGAAGATAAATATAGCAGCAAATGAGGAAGGTAGTCCTAAACTGAGAGGAAAAGAGAGGCACTGGCTGATAGCTGCCTCAGTAATGTAATCATATTAATGCCAATCAATAGGCCTGGCCTGCTTAAACCAAACGTAGGATTTATATTTGGCTAGAGGAGCTATTTTCAATATCGCTTTATCACTGGGTATTTAAAAGTGCAACAGAAAGAGTAGTTTGTGTTGAGAGCTAAAAATAAGGGTAGTAATCTGATTCCCAACATAGACTTCATGGAATTTTAATGCCAAGACATGTTTCTGGGTGTGCTGTTCATAACACATGCAGAGTACATTTAAAAGACACAAGGTGGAAAGAGCTTGTAATTAACTAGAGGCAAAACAAGCAAGAAGTGGATTACACATGGAAGCAATTGTGGCTTGATACAGTCATGCTTTTTTTCCATTTCAAGAAAATTTACAAAGTCACAGCTTCATGTTTGAATATCTGATTCCCTATTCATTAAGTAAAGCCTGTGCAAAGCAAAATGTTTTGCTTTTCCTGAATGCAAAGTAGAGTCATTCTACCTAACAAGAGATTTTCTTCCTTTGTGTTTTTTTTAGACTGTATAACTAAGGAAGAGGTAGTAAAACCTGGTAGGTAGGACCCCTGCTTTGGATTCATACCAGATGTAGATTCCAGGCCATTGATGGCACTTAATAGCCAAATAACCTCAAGCATTTTATTTCTCATCCCTAACCTTCATTTGCCTTCTTTACAAAATTGGGATAACAACATCCAAATTATGGGACTGCTGTGGAGATTAAATGCGATAATACAGAGAAAGATTTAACACAGTGATTACCACAGAATAAAGACACAGTAAACATCAAATATTAACTGATAGTAACAATTTAAAACCTCATTGTTCAGATTATATGTATTGAGCAGCTTATGTTCTAATAGTACTATTATATCGACTAAATACAGATCACTTGTATCTATCAAAATATTGAACAGACCCAATATGGTAGTCTACTTTACAAGTACTTCCTTGATGGTAACAACAGTTGACATGTTGCCAGAACCTGTGGTAAGCACTTTACATACATGATCTCATTATTTCTCACAATACCCTAAAAGGTAGATATCATCAACTTCATTTTCAGCTGAGGAAACAGAGGCTCCAAGTGGCCAAATCATTTGCCAAAAAAGCACATAGCCAGCAAATGACATAAATGCAATACTTGTACATTCAGAGATATTTGAATTCCAAAGCTTGTGAACTTTTTGTCATGCATTGTTGTGTACTCCTGCAGTAATACTTCATTTACAATAAACTAGATACTTTGAAACAGTTTTTCAGGTGTAATATAGGCCTCCACTTATAACTGATGGTCAGCTTGTGAGCTACCCAAAGTATATGAAAGAATCTATTCTACTTAATTCTGATCAAATTCAACCTGACATTTTGTTATGTAAATATACCTCTTGTGAGTGTGTATATGGACATTTTAGCTTTCTGGAATCCATAGGAAAATTTTCCAATCTTTTTGTTCCCCAAGTACTCATTTGTTCTCTAGACATCCGAAACAGAATAACAGTGGTGCTACGGAATGTTGCCCACCAGCGATTGGAATGGTTCCCAGTGAGCTCTTTTTCTAGAGAACATGACAAATTGCTACAAATCTTCTCAAAGCAAAAAAGAGGAAAAATAAACAAAAATAAGAAATATAAATCATCATAATACTGGCTAATATTTAATGACCAGTTGCTATATGCTAGGCATTAATGCTGTTTTACAGTATCTATTTGGTCATCTTGCACACAAAAACTTTTTATGGGCTATGAAATTGAGATTTAGAGAGATTAATATCTTAAAGTCACACAGCTATTGTAGAATGTGACAGAAGATTCAAGCCTATGTCTGTTCTACACAGAGCCTACTCTTTTATATAACATATTACACTGGTTTTCAACCATGTAGTTGTGTGTGTGTATGTGTGTATAGATGCATAGATATATATTGTAGATAGATAAATAGATAGATAGATAAGGAGCTATGTGCCAATAACATCCATTAGAAGGAAGAAGTATCACCAAAGAAGGGTTTAAGTTGTATTTCCTATGAAACATACTACTATTTATTAGATAAAGACGTACTGGGTTACAAAATACCCCAGATATAAGACATAAGGCTACAAATATCAATACATTAATATATTTACTGAACTTCAATCCCTGTTAGGAATGAGGGAAGTCCACACACACTTATGGAAAAACTAAAATATAATTTATTTATTTACACTCAGGATCCCAGTGAAAACCAAAGAGTTTATTTCAAACAAATATACAAAACTGACAAAAGAAGTATGAGCAAGACCTAAGTGATCTTTCTGCTATAGCATCATCTGGATGCAGGCTTTTCTAACAAAATATTTATCCAAAATATAACTACCCATATAATAAACCATGTACTGTGGTGTACTACATGATAAAACTCAAATTTTAAAAATTTAGTGGAGATTATATAAATGAATTATTGTGATTTAATTATAATTCCTTATAGAGCTATAATCATTTTGTTGATTACTCTGACTTAATCATAATGCCCTATAAATGTGTAATTATTCTGGAAATTTAATGTAATGATAATCAACTCTTGATTTCAAAATTTCCAGAAAACTTTTATTTTTATTTTTAAAGTATATTTTATTGATTATGCTATTACACTTGTCCCAATTTTTGTCCCCGTTTGCTGCCCTTCCACCCAGTCCCACCACTCCCTCAGGCAATCCCCACACCACTGTCCGTGTCCATGGGTTATGCATATATGTTCTTTGGCTGCTTCACTCCTCATGCTATACTTTACAGCCCCATGGCTATTCTGTGACTACCAATTTGTACTTCTTAATCCCCTCATCTCTTCACCTATTAACCCATACCCACCTCCCATCTGGCAACCTTTTCTTAAATAAGTTCTTTTAACATTTCATATACTAATGATTTGGTGATGATGAATTCCTTTAGTTGTTTCTTGTCTGAGAAGCTTTTTATCTGTCCTTTAATTCTATATGAATACTTTGCTGGGTAGAGTAATCTTGGTTGTAGGTCCCTGTTTTTCATAACTTTGAATGTTTCTTGCCAATCTCTCCTAGCTTGGAATGTTTATTTTGAGAAATTGGCTAAAAGTCTTATGGGAACTCCCCTGTAGGTAGCTAACTGCTTTTCTCTTGCTGGTTTTAAGGCTCTCTCTTTAACCTTTGGCATTTTAATTATGATGTGTCTTGGTGCGGGCCTCTTTGCATCCATCTTGTTTGGATGCAAGATGTTTCTCTGTGCTCCCTGGACTTGCATGTCTATTTCCTTCACCAAATTAGGGAAGTTTTCTTTCATTATTTTTTCAAATAGATTTCCAATTTCTTGCTCCTTCTCTTCTCCCTCTGGAACCCCTATGATGCCAAAGTTGTTCCAGAGGTTCCTTATACTATTCTCATTTTTTTGAATTCTTTTTTCTTCTTGTTGTTCTGATTGGTTTTTTCCTTCCTTATGTCCCAAATCATTGATTTGATTATTGGCTTCATCCACTCTGCTGTCATTTCCTTGTAAATTGTCCAGAAGAGGAACAGTGGCCTCTGCCTGACTTCCTGTCTGGGAGAAAGCTATATCCCAGTTCTCGCCTTGATGTGAGACATTTCAGTTCCTTCTGCATGCCACTGGTGTTTTACAAGCTACTACCACAGTACTGGAGTTCAGAGGGAGTGAGTCTGAGTGAGTCCATGTATGGGTGCTCTAAGAGGAACTGCTTGGGTGTCCAGCAGTTTCTTCCACCGACTCTATCCCTGATGGTTTTGCAGCCAGAAATTATGGGAACTTATCTTCCTGGCATTGGAACCCTGCTCTGGGGGGTGGGGCTGGTGTGGGGCTGGGACTCCATGCTCCTAGGATATCCCTTCCAAGTTTTTATCCACTACACATGGATGTGGGACCAGCCCATTCTGTGTCTCTGCTCCTCCTACCAATCTGGATTGATGTGGTTTCTTTAATTCCATAGTTGTCAGACTTCTATTCAACTTGATTTATGATGGTTTTAAGTGATGGTTGTTCTATAGTGTAATTGTAATTTTGATGTGGTTGTGCAAGGAAATGAGGTGTGTTTACTTATGCCACCATGTTGACCAAAAGTCTCTGAAATAGATGGTTTTAAGGTGCATTCTAGTTCTAATAACTGTGCTACCAATCCAAAATATGGCTATTTTTTTTCATCTCTGGCTCATAAATTAAGAACATCCTATGTGGAGCAATTTGCAACAGAATAAAATAAACCTTCCTTGTTCCAAAGATTCTGCTTCTACCTGCTAGCTCACATCCAACATGCTTTCTCTTGACAGTGTCATTTTATGACTTTAATCCCCATTATACAAAAAATAATCCAGAAAGATGTTTCAGCACATTAATGGTTCTTTAAGTCTTTCTGTGACTGTCCAGTCTCGGATATGTTATGAGTAGAGCAGTGAGGAGGGAGGCAGTGGAGAGAAGTAATTATTGGAAAGGTCTAGAGGAGGGGTCTAGGATGCTTACCAAAAGTCAATTTCATCTAGCTATGAAATGAACTACATCTACACTAGATGAATTAGATCTAGATCTAAAATTAGATTTTTGCCTGTCAGGCATCAGGACCTATAAGGCTATAAGGGGCCCGCATGTGCTCTTACCCAGGCAAGGGACTGAGGAGAACTGCCGGGGCTGACAGCCTGGTCCTAGGAAAAGACTACTCTGTGATGTGCAGCACTGGCAGAGATGCTGGTGGGATAAGACCCCAAACCCTGCTCACATCCCTGCTGTCTATGCTGTTGCTCCAAACTAGGTTCCAAGCCACCAGAAAGCACAAGCATAATTCCACAGTAGCCTTGGTTTACTGTGGAATGCTGTACCTGTGGCTGCAGAAATAGAGTTAATTTGTATTCT